GGTGGGGGTGGGGGTTGGGGGGGGGGGGAGCACTTTACCGACGTCCGTTTAGATTTACGGCCGTGTAGCGAGGTCGCTAACTTTTTCTCGTGGATTATTCGAGACTCGCGAATCTTTTAAGGCGTCAGTGGTGCAGACGCGACGACTGGCGAATATCGCTGCGACCGGATATGAAGCTCGATATTGCACGTTCCAGATATTTTTCCTCAGAATTAAATAATTTTCAAAGATTTTTTTTAACTCTCTGGGTGGCTGGAATGTAAGATTTTTAGCGAGGGCATCGTTGCACAGAGGAACAACACGCACGTTCACTTTGTCCGCAAATTGATCATTACTTCGGAAGTATTTGTTACGGCGCTTAATTAGCAAATCGCTTTACTTCATCCGAAGTTGACTCCACGACTTAATACCTACAATTATAGCCACCTCGATGTATCGAATGATCGGACTTATTAAAATCTAAATGTAAATGGAACATAAATGGATTAGATAAGTAGCTATCGTGTATATTAATCGATCAATGCGGTAATAAATTGGAACTTGTTTATTCCGTTATACAATTTTAGAAGCTGTCGGATTGATTGAATTGGATAGGATTGCAAAGTAATGTGGCATTGCTGTCTCGTAATAAAGCAGAGGTGCATCATCGATAAATGCACCCGACGAATTTTCTAATCTCTCTCTATGTCTCTCTTCAAAGCGAATAAACGTGAAGGGGAGCTCAGGCTCCTATCCCGCGTCTTGAGTCAAAGCTCGCACACAGACGCGTCGCGGTTCCATTATGCGTAAGCGGAAGCGCGAGTCACTGCGGTGACATCGACCGCAGACAGCCATTACGAGTCGCTGTTAAGTGCCATGACATTACCGTCACAACCGACGGATTCTCATTTGCGAGCAGCTGTTGTCGCTTCGGGGCCGCGTTGTTATCCGAGGACTTGCTTAAGGCCCGCCGACAATCGCTTCATTGCTCCTTCACTGCAGGATATAACGCGCATTGTTGGTTTTCATTGGGAATCCGAGCTACTTGCTTTCGCAATAGAAAGCCATCGGTGATCACGCCGAGTTACGGGATTCTGCCAGCAGATGGTTGCTTTATTGTTTGGTGCGTTGCGTCATGCTGGCTAATGTCAACGTCACTGGCAATTAAGCGACTATGACAATCGAAGCGAATTTCCAGCGAGTTCTTGGCTCTATTGAATTATCGCGAACGTATTGGCCGCTTATCTTTCATTATTGCTGCGTTTGAATGATTTTTTCGTCTCGAGTCTTATTGAACAAGTAGGACTATCGAGTGGAAAAGGATACACCACGATTGTTTTTTTTTTTTCTTCTTCCCTTCCCCCTCCCCCTCCCCCATAAAGTAATGCGAATAATTGAATGTTACGATCGGACTTTGAAGTAACGCGGAAAGCACATGGTATCGTAATCTTGCGGTGATTTATTTATTTTGTTCGTACAAGGCAGGCTGAACTAGAAATTGATTAATACGATTTATCATCAGCGATTCTGATTTTAAATTCGCAACTACACGATAAGATACGTTTCGTACACATAAACGTATGTGAGTCGGCATCTATTTGAAAGAAAAACGACAAAGCTGAATCAGTGCGTAATTCGACGGAGCATTTATTAATTTCACAGAGCACGGTATCAGCACTTATCAATGAAAATATCCAGCGAGTAATTTCGCGATTTCTAAGTAAGCGAGTAGCCATCGTTATTAACGAAGTAAAACGAACAGGAATACCAATCGCGCTAATCGCTTATTGCAATGGACGCAAGGCGTCCGTTTATGTAGCGGTCGCTGGGCTCGTCGGGTTCCGAATAACAGTACGAAGGTTACGTAAGGTCGCTGAAACTCACGTCGGCGAGCGAGGTGACGCAGAGCGGACAGGCTGAGGAATAGTCGAGGCAGCGGTCCAGGCACATCCAGCAGTAGGTGTGGCCACAAGGCGTCGTCACCGGCTTCCAGAGCAAGCGACAGCAGAGGATGCAGTCGAGGTCACCGCCCGACGTCGCGCCACTCATGGGTGGCAGGAGGATCTCAGCGGGCTTTCGCTCCACTCCTGAGTGAAAATTGATTGAATTAGTGTCGTTATTTCCTTTATAATGATTACCACGCTATCGCTTCTGCTCTGTCAAACTGCCGCTGCTGGTTCAATTAGCCTCTTATGGTGTATAATATCGCGGCTATGCCTATGGATATGAGCGGCAGTTGCAATTGACATTAACCGCTTCGTTATTGGCTCGCTTATTAATTTATTACGTCAGCCGTGATGATCAAAATTTTTTTCCGCAATAAGATAGACGGTTTATTGAAACTTTTCTCATTCGTAAAATCGAGAATTTACATGCGCGCTTGTCGTATCGTGTAATTCTTCTATTTCAAACTCTTTATCACGGCTGTTAATGAGTGTAAATGTTCGACCACTGTTTTAAACATTTACACGTTTTAAAAATTAACCGACGATAGACAATATATAAAGCCAAAATCAACATATAATAATGTGCTTAGGAATTGAGCAATCGTATACCAGCTATTACTTACTTTTTAATTTTTCAACTTCTTGAAACAACCTATCTAATGTTGCATACAATTTCGAGTTGTCTTGTGGCGTGGTACTGGAAAGTAGTCTCCGACAAACAGACTGAAAGTGACAGCTGAATTAGATCAATTTAATCGTACGTAGAGCATATGCCTACGATATGCGTTTATAGCATACGCTTACGTAATGATTTTAAGTAAACGCGAAATTTGCAACAATATTTTTCGATTGATAATTAAAATATAATTTTCCGCGAATTACATTACATCATTGTTTTATTGCTTGTACGCTACATTGCGATACCATAACCATTATGTAAATCAATAATAAGAATAAGTAATGTCAACCATTAGATTTCGTATTACAAAAGTATAAAAATTGTGTGCGGTGCTTAAAAGCGTCGTTGCATAATTATGGAATAGATCGATTCGCGCTAACGATAATTAATACGGAATTATGCCCGATGGATTATCACGTCCCATAAAAATTATATAATTTGTATAAGTAATGTCCATAAATTTCTATATTCATAATCAACGCCCTATTTTAACGATAAACGAGTTTGTGTCAAAAAATTATTATAAAAATGCTGACGGTCCGTACAAGATCCATTTAACAAATTCATACAAATATAAGAATAAATGAATAAGCGAATGAGTCCCCCAGCCCCAAAACCACTCCCTATCCACCAATCGTCTCGCTAAATTCTCTCAGCCCCTGAATTTTTAAACTTATCTTGGCGCGCGATAATAACATGCACGCGTGCCGTAAAACGACCATAATTACCTGGGAGAACTCGTCCTCGCCGCCGCTACTGTTGTCTTCGTAGTCGGAGGTATTGAGGGCCACGTTGCCACCGGCGTTACGTCGGTGCCGATGACTCGATGTCATTAGGGGCAGCAGCAGGTGATGACGGTTCCGCCTCATACGCACCTCCACGAGGTCGTAAGGCGTGCGGAAGCTCGCGCTGCTTTGGCGACGCACACTCGACGTCAGAATACGGTGCAGCACCTGTTGCGGGTGGGACACTCAATGAAATGCCTAAAGACGAGGCTGGGCTTGGCCGTTCCGGAAGCGGCTCGCTTCGGGATAATGTTCATTACGCGATATTGACTTTTTGCGCTAATTTGATGAGGATTTATAGCTCCAAGCATACCGCTAGCTCGCCCATGAATTTATAGGTTTTCTATTTTTGTAACGGCTGAGATGTGTCTCTTATGTTTATACTGCGAGAGTTATTATATTGCTTTATGAAGCGACCTTATTTCAAATTCGAAAATTTATCGCACTCGCTCTTATAAAAGAAATTTATTTCAAAAATAAAAGAAACGCTATTTGATAATAAATTTTCGGGCCGTTAGTCGGCGGTGCGCGACCAAATGCTATTCAACGCTAAAAATATTATTTTGTATTCCGACACTCCGACGATTACGGAGCTTTTGCGATATTTCGGTGCAATTAAAATAATCTGGAAATAGTAGGGGAGTCGGAAAGGCTATTACTCGCGAATTCAAAATGTAAAGGCGTAAGCGCTAAAAACGTTAACGACACTGTAATTCACTTAATTATTAATATTAATTAAGAAAATTATATGGACGGTATAATGTGTTACAGATAGCGCGTCCGAGGCCGACTCTGTAACGCCTCGATTGCGCAATACGAAGACTCATAAATAACAGATTATATAAAAAAAAAAAAAGGAAAAAAAGAGAAGAAAAAACAGTTGGGTCTAATTTCTACGTCCCGTCGGCGTTCGCCGTGCAGAGTGCCGAAAACTAAATTTCAATTGATTGGCTGCGTAAGTCGTCGTAATCGGAGCTCGTGGCATACAATGGAAAAATCGCAATTTCCGGTAGTGCCACGATGCCGCCAAGAACGAAAGAGCTCCGATCCACTAATTTAACGACCAGCGCGTCGGAAAGACCGAATTCTAAAAATAAACGCGCGTCCGTTCATTATCATTACACCTCCGTCGTAGGCCTCGGGACCAATGACACGATCCGCCCGAGTAGCGGAACACCGGCGCGCGAAGCGGGAATTCTCCATCTCTTCGCTTCCTCGTGGACTCGCGCGACGTACTCGAGCGGCGGAGAAGCGAGGGGGCGGCTCGCGCAACTCGACTGCCCTCCACGGGGTTATTCAACCGCACGGCGCCGTGACTCGCGTATGGGAAAGCCAATGTCGTTGCTTAGGCGGTTAGATCGAGGCGGCGCGTGTCTTCGCTGTCACGAAGAGAGCGAGGGTCGATCGAATAATACATGACGGAGTCCCAGGTGATGGATAGAAGTGTAACAGGTGCGCGCGTTTGAGGCAATAAAGATGAAAGAGCGGTGGATGTTGGGCGGATGACGCTCGTCCGTGATGACGGCGGTGGTGGCAACGACAACAACTCCGCTAGGGCGGCTGGGGAGGGGGGAGGGGGGGTGGTGGTGGAAGGAGGAAAATCGTTGCCTGTTAATACAATGTGGAGCGTAACGATCGTTACTCCCCGAAGCATGGATGAACATATTTTTAGACGCGTAAGATCGATCGATTTAATCAATCGGTCATTCCGAAAAAAATATTTCAACGGCTTTTCTTATTGTCACAATGTGTTTTATGACTATGAAGCATTTATAAATGAGTGCATTTATTATTCGAGTACTTGGCCGAAATCGTCGCATTTTTCTAATTTTATAGCGTTGATGTTCGATTACGATTTTTCACGATAAAATGTTAGGAAATTTAACGCCTAGCTTTAACACCAAATGCATGAATAATCTATCGATCATTGACATACAAAATAAACAAAAGTCATTATAAACAATTCGTAAATAACTAATTTGACAGTAGTCGATTGATCATATGATAAAGATGGAGAAAAAAATTTGTTCCTTTTACCCTTGTGAGTTCATGTCGGATGGCTTGGGGATTTTTGTCGATAACAGCACTCGTGCACAGAGCAAGAAGGGCCTCTTCGTTCCTCATGAGTGCGGATAACGCTAGACCCCTTTGGTAATGACCCTATAATTAATCATAAAAAAAAAAAATAAAGAAAAGTAAAAAGGTAAAAAAAGAGACAATTATTTAAATTTTTTTACTCGTAAATAATTAACGCTTAAATTATGCATTAATGAATCAATGAACAAGACCTAGCAATCAGCGAAATATTACTTTTCAATCGGCGATAAACTCGAACAATTAATTAAGCTAAAATATAACAGTAAAATGCAAGAATTTTTTCGTGCCCAAATAGATAATAATTTTATCATACTGGAATTGACCCGAGGACTCTCGTTATCGATAACTACATGAAAAGCAACAGACGCCGTATAACAATTGTTAATCACGCGTCCTCGTCGAAGCCTTTCCGTTAAATAAAAGCAGAGCCGAGCGGCGGACGATAAGTAGGGGTCGGCGGCGCTCTATATAATACGAAATGCCTGCACGTGTAACCACGGAGAGAAATATATCGAAGCTCACCTTGCCCCAGTCCGGGCGTAGTCGAATTGCATGATCAGCATCAGCGAGGGAGGCTTGTGGCCTGTTGAGTAAAAGCAACGCGTGTGCTCTGCTGCTGAGGTGAAGCGGACTGTTTGGCGCTGAAATCAGAAGATAATGCCATCGATATTAAATGCACTTATATTTTAATATTAATATTATTTGCCATTGGTGATTATGTTAGAGTGGGTGCGATTAGAAGCCGATTGATTAATTATGACCATTGAAGCAATGACGTCGGATAAAGAGTGGGCGAAATGTGGTCTGGCAAATGTCGGATTGTGCAAAAAGTAATGAATTACCCTTGATAAGGAAAGATAGTCAAGAAATCCATGCTTATTTAATTCCGTTTGAACAAACATTTGGGAAAAGATAGAGGAAACGATTATAATGTATACAATTCTCATTGACGATAAATATAATCTCCGACAAATGCGCTTTAATCAATTTGTATGATATTGTATAAATGTCAGATTATCATTTTAAATACCTATCCATCGATCTTAATAATACATGTTAAACTCACAAGTAGATTAATGAAAAATGTAAATTAATATGGTCATTTTTACGCGAAGAGACGACGAGATGAAATTTTTGTAAGTATTTTTGAGGTCTTCGTTTAAATTATTGTTATCCGTGAAATCTATAAATTCGCTAGAATAAAGCTATGATACATGCTTATATAAATTCATTTATTCGTTTACATTTTCGATTATACTCTGGACTGGATTAATAAAAAATTGTCAAATAAATTAACAATTTCGAGCCGAATCGTCAAGCAATCGAGCAATAGACGACGATTAAAATCAATAATAATGAAATATCCTATGCAGCTTCCTTACATATATATATATATATATATATATATATAGACACACGTAATTTAAAATTTATGCGTTAAAAAGTGTCATCGTTACAAAGAGGATAGCATCAGTAATGAAAACTAGATATTAAAAAGTATTTCACGACACATAAAGCAATGCTCGATGATGCTTCTATCTCACGGGGATGAAGGGAACGAAGTTGCATCGTTATTCTTTCGTCAGACACATAATCGAAATTTTAATCAGCGCGTACGGTGTACGAGAGCCGCATTCCGAACTTTTTCATTATAATCGATAAGTCGCCGAAAGAACGAGGAGAATCGGGTCTCGCTGGCAAGAGCTGATTTTCGCAACGCCAAAACGCAAAGAGTTGGATTTCGTAAAAGTCGACAATTATGTCAGCGCTACTCCCGCGTGTAATTATTATTGTTGAGCGTCGAGATATCGTAATGTGGTATACCGCTGCTGGCAATTCTACTCCCACTACTTGAGAATCAAATAATTAGTTGAAAAATCAGGTTTCCTCTTTTCATCATTTCGTCTGGGTAATTGACGTCGAATTATTTGTTAAAGCGATTGTGAAGCCCTGACTCTATGAGATTTGAAAGAACGTAGCGTAATGTAAAAGTATATTGATTTTTTTAAAGCGAATTAATATGTTTTATGCACGTTCGATGAATTAATTTCTATTTTATGTAACTTTTTATGTGCAGTTTTCAGAAATAATTTCCAATTTCATATTAATTAGCGAAATAGTTTACTAACACCGCGTATAGTAATAATAACACTTTTAAGTCCTTACATCGTCATATTTTATATCACCCATACAAATAACCCCACTCACACACAACCACACACAAACACACACGCACAAATATATATGGGCGCGCGCGCGCGCGCGTGTGTGTATTAGTGTGCCAATAATGAAATGGAGCAAAAAGCAATATATAATAATCTTTATAATAGAATTATATATTATCTTCAATTGACTAAATGTATATATCGAGTAGAAATATGATCTTCTTTATTGAAATAAAAGTTTTGATTAATAAACATGAATTGCATGCCTAACGAAAATTATTTTGATAATTAATGCAATGTCACGTCACCAATTAAATAAACATAAATATTCGCATTTGTTTTTTGACATGGTCAATAGGTGCCAACAATGTATTTTTTAAACTCCGCTTATACAATAATACGAATTTTTAGAACGGCGCGAACTCTTTACGTGAAATGTTGTCTCTCACAATTTAGTTATGCCAACAACAATTTAAACGTCAAATGCACTATATTTCAATTCAATCGCCTACAATATTTAAGAATATATTCAAGTTCCTCCAGCTACCACAACGACCTCTTGATTTCTTCATTTAACTTGGGATGCGGCACACAGATTACGCAAACAACATGTGTAATCTCCGATCTCCTTCTCGGCTATTGGCAGGTGTCGGTCCCATTGGAATATCAACTTATTACGGCCTTTGTACCGATTTATTGCTCTTCTTTCGAGGACTTGGATTTTTATTATAATTTCGAACGATATCCAAGAAGCGTGCTATTACATATACATAACCAGAAATGGGAGCGCAGATTGGCTTGTGTTCTTTGTTCGCTCGCGCACACGAAAGCCCACGAGGGGGGAAACTTACGTAATTGTGCTGTTTTCGCGCATCGATCGAACCCTCTTTGACGCTCTCGTAACCTATCGCCCCTCGGTGCCATTTTATATATTGAAGTGCCTGGAAGGGAGTCGCGATGGAGATTCGCATTACTTTTGGCTAATGCATTGTTTTCTCACGATTGCACTTGACAATTGATATTAATGCATCGAGGATAATCGCAATGTTAATTTTTCCTATTTCTTGGTGCTCCATTGCCCGATATGTGCATTAGCTTGCCAGTTAATTTTTTGAAAGTAGATAGGCAATTGTGAAGTAAATCGTTTTTTCGGAATTCATTCGGTATTCCGCCTTTGATTAATTTGAGGTATTTTCAATAATATATTTGTGTTCAATTTTCTAATTTTCCATATGAACGCATTATTATCTATTGCGTAATAATAAATAGTCTTTGCTCCCATTAACACAAAACACGGTCGCAAGAAATAACCAAAATGTAATGATATTTTAAAAAATTATGGAAATACTGCTTTATAGGCGAATTATCATTGAAAAGTCTTATACAATCGAGATTAGATTCACCTTATAAAACAACATCAACCAGAATATCTACAAGGTCCAATACACAATCAAACAGTCGTCCAAAGGTTTGTCTCCATAGTTTGATTGTCGCCGTGCATTACGTAACATCGATAGAGAAACTCGCGTATGTAAATACATGTATGCACACGCGAATACACTCGCTCTCAATCTCTCTCACCCACACACCCACACACCCACCTACTCACCCACCCACACACACACACACACACACTCTCTCTCTCTCTCTCTCTCTCTCTCTCTCTCTCTTCTATCTCATGCGGACAATGCATATATATGTAAGCACATTCCGTGAAAAGTCAATGGCAGCGGCGGAGAGACGCCGACGGCGTGTCGAAGCGTGAAATTCGCGTCTCTGAGCGTAGAAGAGCGAAAGAGATCGCGACACTTGGGCATTGATCTTGATGCGTTACATAAGAATGCGAAGAGGAAGGCAAGAGACAGCGTCAGAGACGGAAAAAGAGAGAAAAACATTTGAGTGACGCGGTCGAGGCAATGGCTACGACACATTATTTTCTTTTCCTCTTCCTATAGATACGAGTTATGTCGTAAGCGAGCGCGAGATCACTCATATAAATACGGTAATTTGGAAGATGGGAGATACAGTTAAATGCTTGATTAGAAGGGAGCGAATTCGAAAAGACTGCAAAAGCTTCGCGATGGTGGTTGGGGTGGGGAGAGAGAGAGAGAGGGTAGGAGCGACAAGAGTGACGGATGTTCACAAACTAAAGCGTAGGAGAAATTTTTGACTTTGGAAAAGACCGCGGGGGTGTCAACTTTCCTCCACGCTCGCGTTTCCAGCTGCTTGAGCGCAATGCGAATGAAACGCGAAACGCTTACTTTTCTCTATGTCTGCCTGTGCGCGCTCGTATCTACTGCGATCAACTGAAATCGGACACGCGCACGTAGCTACTCGCTTTAGCGAATAATGATTCGATCCCCTTGTATATTTAAAAATGATGAATACGGCGTTTAAACTTGTTGAATTTTGGCCACCCCGTACAGCTAACGTTTCCGAAAAATTGCAATGTTCGCCAATTCGCCAATAGGTCAGCGACACGTTGATATTTATTGTATGCAACGTTCCGAAGAAGAATGCTTCGGCCAGTGAGCGAAGCACTGGTTTTTCGAGACGTACAGAGAGTAAATTTATCTTTTTATTATACGAGAAGCGGAGCATTTATCTGATTGAAATAATACGAGGCCGCGTGGACATTCGCGCCTGAATAGTTACGAAACAGTGTTGTAATTGCGCGTAGAACTAAAGTTTTTCAGGCGTTATCAGTCAGTAATAAGTATAACCGTAAGGATACATTTTAGTCTCCACTACCGATATCATCATCCCTCTCCCTCGCTCCCATAAAATAATTGACTAATTATTGTAATGTAAGAGAAATAATAATATAAGAGTGAATAAAAAGAAATGATCGAGCTAAGCTATCAACGAATAAAGATGATAGAGGCGGTATGAGTGTACCGAGTGACTGATTAGCAAGGCGCACGTTTCACAATTCCCTGGTAAAGTCTATACCCTCGTAATATTTTGCTTTTGATTTACGACTTTCTCATTTTGTATATACCGTAGTCTTCCTTAAATTATTCTGCTCTTAGCTAGAATAGCCAGCTGTATCTATAATCGCGCCAATATAATTATCGGAAGGAAGGGAGTTTAGAGAGAGAGAGAGAGAGAGAGAGAGAGAGAGAGAATGAGAGAGAGAATGAGAGAGATGAATTTTATTTGAAAATTCAGACTAGCGGTAATGGGAGAGCGATTTAAGCGCGCTAATGCGGATTAATACAGGGCAATATAATTTGTATTGAGAGGCTCTTGAGAAAAAGCTCGAATCGCCCGAATAAATCGCTCCTTATCAGACGAGGCAGCGCGCTTCCCGCGCTAAAATTAGCCGCGCTATAAAAATTGTATAAAAATAGAGAGCGAGCAAGTGGGAAAGTAAGCGAGCGAGCAAATGGAAAATTCGAGGCTGGAATATTGGCGGAATAAGTGCGAGTCGATGGAAGAAAAGCGTGAAATCTAATGTGCCATAAGCGCCGCGG